AGATTGCCACAACTTCCTTTCACGGAGTGGCTAGTGGGTTTAAACCACCAACCTGGTTAGCAGTCAAATGCCTTAGGTACTGCACCACTAGAGTTCCCAGCTTTGAGTCTCATGGCATCAGATCACAGCACATGCAACCCTCATCTTTGCTTTCATCTGCCAATCCCAGTTCACTCTTCCTTCTCAATGATTTTAGCTCGTTTCACCATCGCTTCCTTCAGTACGACTCTTGCCTTAACTTTTAGGGATTTCCACATACCTGTAGGTACTCCTTCTAACCCTCCCACCTTGCCTGCCATTTTCCTGGACTTCACTCCTTCAGTGATCTTGCCCTCCAACTACCTCAGCTACTCACTCTCAAATTTATAACCTTCCTTTTACCCATTCTGAGATCTCCACTTCCTATCTTTCTACTCTACTCTCTATATTCTTAAAACCCTCTAGACCTCAAATGCATTTTTATTGTCCCTCATCCTCTTGGGTTTTACTCTCCTTCTTACCCAACTTAAAACTCCATGGTCAATCATTATAATCATGTTCATGTGTGTGTGTGTGTACATACATACATACCTCTCTCCCTTAATCCTCTCTCAATTGGTTAAAACCACTACCCTTCATTAACCCACCTTTCCATCTACTCAGGTGTGCACCCAAGTAGCTGTACCTAGTCTGGGAAACACACAAACACAACCGAGCTAACTGGTTTCACTTTAAATTAATGACTACCATACAAGTGAACTCTTAATACTGGCAATTTTACTAACAATCCTCAATCCATTCACTCTCTGTGTCTTAAATTAGTTCCCATCTCTCCCCTCCTTTTTCCACCACTTCCTTCCCCTTCTCACTCTCAGATGATTACCTTGCCTCCTAATTTCCTGAAAAACTGAAGCAATCAGAAAAGGACTTCCAAAGATTTCCCTCGCCTCGTCTACCCGCTTCCCAGCATCTGTATCCATATACTCTGCCTTCCCACTTGTTACCATGGATCAACTATTCCTGGCTTTGTCTAAAGCCAGTCCCTCTACTTGTGTACTAGATCCCATCTCTTCTTGCCTACTCAAGAATATTGCTTCAGCAACTTTTCCCTCTCTGACATCAGTATTTACTCTGTGCTGTTTCACACATACATGTCATCATTTCTCACATCTCTTAAAAAAAAAAAAATTACTGTCCTCAATTCCCCTTTCACTTTCTGAACTGCTTCTTGGCTGCCATTTGGAGCAAAAATTGTCTGTACTAGCTGCCTTCAATTACTTTTCTCCTATTCTCTCTTAATCCCACTCCAAATAGTTTTTTACTCCCACCATTCTACCAAAAAACTGTTCTTTTCAAGGGCCCTAATGATCTTCTCCTTGCTAAGACCATGGTCAATTCTCAGTCCTTGCCTTACTTGATTTATCAGAATTTGACACAGCTGATCACCCCTTCGTCTTTGAGACAATTTCTGCACTTGCTTTCCAGGACACTAAACTCTTGGTTTTCCTTCTGCCCCAGTGGTTGAGCTCAGTGGTTGTGCTGTCCCAATCTCTGCTTGTTCTTCTTCTCCTCAAGATTTTAATTCAGAGTCCTTGGTCCTTTTCTCTGTCTATACCAGCTTCCTTAGTGATCTTGTCTCATGGTTTTAAGTACAATTTATATACTAACAACTTCCAAGTTTCTCTCTCTATTCCCTACATGTCTCACAAACTCCAGACCCCAATCTTCAACTCCTTACTCAACATTTCAAAGCCAACATGCCTCAAACTGAATTCCTAATCTACCTCCTCAAAATCTCAACTGACAGAGTTGCCAACTTTCTAGTTGCAAAAAACCTTAGTCTCATCATGACTTTTCTTTCACACCCGTCTCATGTGTGGAGGCTCTGTTGGTTCTACCTTCAAATTGTATCCAGAATGTGACTGGTTTTCACCACTTCCTCTGCTATCACCCTGTTCTAAGCCACTAACATCTCTTGCTTGGATTACTGCAACAGCCTCCCAAAACATCTACTCTTGCCCCACAGCAGATTGAAATAGATGTCAGATCATCTCCTCTTTTGTCAAAGACCTGCCAATGACACCTATGTAGAGTAAAAGCCAAAGTCCTTTTAATAGCCTAAAATGTATTATATGATCTAGCCCCCCTCCACACACACACACACACACACACACACACACAGAGTTACTTCTCTGACTTCACCTTCTGTTCTTTTCACTTACTCCATTTCAGCCACTTCTTGCTCTTACCCCAACAAGCCAAGCATTCTTCTGCCATAGGCCCTTTTCAGCAGCTGTTCCCTCTACCTGGAATGCTCTTCCTAGGGCATCTGAATTATTCCCCTCACTTCCTCACTTCCTTCAAGTGTTTGGTTAAATGTTATCTTTCCCATGAGATCTGTCTGACCCCTAATTTAATACCAAACTACTTTTCCTTCTTTCCATAGCATTTGTTACCTTCTAACAGTCAATGCAATTTACTTATGTTTATTGCTAGAATGTAAGCTCCGCTAGGTCAAGGCTCTTTGCTTTAATTATGGATATATCCTAATCACGTAGAAGTGACTATCACATGTAAGTGCTCAACAAATACTTGTTGAATTAATACATGCCTGAGGCCAAATAAGTGTGTAGAGGTAGGTCTAGGTGGACACTAAATGTTTTGTTTGTAGTTAAGAAAAGAATGAGACAGACTAGATGATGGATTTGACAAAGTATGAAATGCAACTGCCTACCAGTTTGCCTTCAGGCTTACACAGCCCAGTCAGTATCATTCCCACTGAGTCTGTCTCCTCAATCATAAAATGGAAATATCTTACAAGACTGCTAAACGATGTAATGAAGATAATGTATATGAAATGTCCAAACTCTGAACCAAACTCAAGTACCTACTATTTTTCATCAAATCCCAGTATGCCATTTTCTTCCTGAATTTATAGGGGCCTCAGATGGTAAAGTTATTTCCAAAAGTACAATTCAGCAAGAACTTCAAGACTTTAACTGAATTTCATTAACTGTCACAAGGTGGCGCTATGTCCCAGCACTATTTCCCCAACTTCACTGGATTTGAAATAGTGTATAAATTGTGTGACTGATGCCCTCTACTGGCTTATTGTAGCCTTTGCCCTGGATGCTTTGGCTTTGAAGATAGCTCCATAGGCACTCTTGAATATGCTCAGTATGAATTCTTAAATCCACAATTTAAGTTGGCTGCCCAAAGGCTTTCTCAAGTTGACACTAGTGATATAAGCATACAGGAATAACATGACATCAATAAGGTCACCACAAAGAACCACTGCTATGTACAGCCTTCTAGCTCATGCCAATCACTATTCAGCCCCACTATGGCACAAAATAAAGCACAACTGCCACCCTACAGCTCTACCTTTTCTCTCTCCATTCATCCCAACTACAATCCCTAGCACCATTTTGGAGATGGGCAAAGATGCCTCCCCATTTCTCCCTCCTTGCTCTCACTTGCTGCCTCCATCCTCCAGTCTTTCCCATAATTTAGAATGACAAGAAGAACTTGGGAGCATGCAGAGGGGAAAAAGGAAGAAGCTTCTAAGGCAAACAAGCATTTGACAGGTTGGGAGTTAACCCACTCCCCATCCCTTCTTCCTGCCCACATACTCACCATCATCTCAAGAAACTGAAATCAATATGCCATTTCCACCCTTTAAATGTGGTTTAAATTTAAGAGATTAACTGGATCAATGAACTTAAGTGATGAATAACTTTCCCAACTGTCACACTAGATCATACCAATCATTAACTAAGCCAATGCTTAAGGGCTAGGGAGTTCTGAGTGTTTTCTTACAACTCAGGTCTTAATTTTATTTGCAATTATTTCCAAACCTTTTTGGAATGCATTTATATTCCAAGCCTTTCCAACTCTTGGAGGTACATGCAGAAAGCGTATAAAGGTCTATTTTCATTTGTCTTAAACTTACCATGCCCAAATTTCAAAGTGTCTTTTCTTCCTAGTAAGTCATATTTGGTGAACAAATCAACATTCATTTTTGCCCTCAGCAATTTTATAGGCAATGATTCTATCTCCTTCTAACCTTCCTCCCAGACTCTGGTGGTCTATTCTCAAATCCACTTTCATAGGGCAGCCTCCTTTCCCTTTGATTTGCATCATTTTGACTACTCCATTGCACTTTCCACCCCTCAAGTCTCCATCACCTTAAACTCTCTTCCCCTCTCTGTGCCTGTGCCAAGAACAAATATGACACAGCAGCAGCTATATTTTGCCTGCAAATCTTTTGTGGACTGCATGAAGTTCCTTTATTTAAACATAAGATAGACTTTACAAGTCAGATTTCACACTGAAAATCAGATTTGTGGCTAGAGAAATTTCATTTGTAATTCCAGAGATCTGAATCTAGGCCCAAATTCTGAATACAATTATATGGAGCAGTGTAGTTTCCCTTATTGGACAAGGCATACTTTCTCCAGCTTTCCACAGCGGCTATTAGTCAAAGTATACCAGCTTCTCTTGCTCGCATTACTGACCAAGCCTCTGAAGACCTCTGCTATCTTGCTTTGCTCTAAAACCACCATCTTTTGCACACTCAAATCATACCCATCCTCCAAGACTAACCTCAAATGCCAACTCCTTAATTATTTCCCAGTTATTCCAGCAAACCTGATCCCCAGCCTCTTTGAACTCCCATAGCATCAAACTACTCCTTGTAGTTGTATACATGCTATACATGCTTGTCTCCACTAGACTGTAAACAATTGAGCACAGTGCTTCTATTTTGTTCATCCTTGTAGTCCCCCACAAAAGCAATTTAGCCCAATAATAGATAAAAAGTTCCCAATATTTGCTAAAATATATTTATGGATAGCCACAGAACTAAGTAGAAACTTTGAATTCTTTAACTGATCAACTTTGTGATCTTGAGCAACTGAACTGGACAAAGCATCTTAAGATTCTAGGATTAGAGCTATAGAGAAATCTTTACACGTCCCTTCTGTCTACCTTCTATTTACAGAAAAATCACGAGACAAATTGATGTGTTGTTTCTTTTAATAAATAGAAGCCTCATCAATTCATTTGTTATAGCAAATAATAAATGAGACCATAATTCAAAAGGGCCCACAAAGCTTTGTCATCCACAGAGTAACAGAAAGGATAAGGGCCTTCACCACCTCAGCCTTTGATTAACTTTTTCTTTTGATCTCTGTTCTCCCACCCACATCAGCATGCTACTTCCAGAATGGAACTCTGTCTAGTTGAGAGGCTAGTTTTTCAGCTTGTCTTAATAATGGAATCTGGAGTTCCCTAACTTAACTGAGGAACCTGGACAAGTCTTCCTTGATTTCAGCTTCATCCCAAGGCCCATGAATGTTTTCTTTAAAGAGCTGCAGGCGAATGAGGTAGAAAGGGCAGAGACACGAGATGGAAACAAGCAGAAGGGCAAAGAGGATCGCTCCCACACCACTAATGGACAGCAGGCCTCCCAAGGCTGAAAACGCAAAAAGCAGTGTGACCCCCACATAGCTGCGAGGAGTACATGCCTTCAGTTTCTTCTGCAACATGGGCCACAGGGCAAAGATCTGGATGGCAAACGTCACCATTATGAAGGCATGCAGGGACCGGGGCAGGCGTGAGGCCAGGCAGACAGAGGCAAAGATGGCCATGTTCAAGGACAGTGTGCTGGATACAATGGCAGCATTGGCACCATAGTCAAAGAAGATGAGGTGGCCTAACAGCATGAAGACTGACATGGCATAGATGGTGTCAGTGCTCACAGATTCTGTCAGGGTCTTCAGCACTGGTGAAAAACCATACGTAAAAGTAATGAAAACTAGTGCACTCTTCAGGTCTGCCCACCGGGTCCGCCCACTCTTCTTCCGCCCTTCACCTCCATCAATGAGATCAAACAAAACATAGCCAATCAGTGAAGAAGCCAGGCCAGTCCCAAAAAGCCAGTGAGGGGCCAGGAGACCCTCATCCATATACCACCAGATAACCACAAAAACACACACACTGCACAACTGCTGTATCACCACACTGGACTCAAACACCACAGCCCAATATTGGTATTTCCGGGCATAGATGTTTTTCCGGAGCTCCTCCAGGAACCGCCGATCCACATAGTTGTCAGGGAATGGCTGTCGCTCATACAAGACCTTCTGCCACCTGGCCTCCTTGGTGTTAGTTACTGGTTGGTCACACATTATCCTTTCCCTCCAACTCAGGCCAGTTCAATCTCCCTCGCAGAAGTCCATGTGGTTATGGTTCTTTATAAAGGTTTGAAGTAAGACCTCTCTGGAAATTCCATGCTGTGCTGTAGTTGATATTCTACCGACCTTCCTTTGTTTTCAAAGGCAGCAACCCAGGCTAGGCCTGCAACGGATGAGTTTGTTCTCTGAGGCAGGGCAATACATCAATTTCCTACAAAAAGAGAGACTATGAACTTATGAAAGTTATAAAAGGTCAAGAATAGAACTGAATTAAAAATTGAACCAACTCAGTAAGTACACTAACAGCAAAATGTATGTGGTGTCTATCTCATAATTATGGACATTAAAATTGCACTTCACATTTTAAGATTATAATCCCTTGAACAGTAATAGTTATTCTGGTTAGCTAACACTTACTGAGTACCAACTATGTACGAGGTACCTTACATACCTAATTTCATTTCATGTTCACAATCTTTCCAATTTGTACTAATAAGATGTCTAAAGTTCCAATTCCTTAGGTATCTTTAGCCCAGTGTAACAGAGTACTAAATAGTGGAGGCAGGATTCAAAGCAAAGTCTGATCACAAAGCTCGTGCCTCACATCACGTCTTCCTCTAAACCAGTTTTTCACTGCTGGTTCACACATCCCAGAGTCTATGAATGGGTTTCAGAGGGTCTAAAGCTCTGGTAGCATAGTGCCTAAGGCACTTGACTGCTAACCAGAAGGCTGGCGGTTCAAACCCACCAGCCACTCCTCGGAAGGAAGGTTGGGCAATCCTATTTTCGTAGTGATGTTGTTGTTGTTGTTGTTATGTGCCGTGGAGTCAGACCTGACTCATAGCGACCCCCCCTTGGGTTTCCAAGGCAGTATCACTACGGAAGTAGATTGCCCCATCTTCCTTCCGAGGAGTGGCTGGTGGGTTTGAACCGCCAGCCTTCTGGTTAGCAGTCAAGTGCCTTAGCCACTATGCCTCGGAAACCCAAGGAGGGGTCGCTATGAGTCGGGGCCGACTCGACGACAAATAACAACAACAACAACAAAGACAACAGTAAACTTAACTGCACAATACAGAGAGGTATGAGCGCTGTGATTTAGCCAAAACCAAAGACTCAAAAGAACTAAAGATTCTTCAACCATTAATTGAGTTTAACACCCTTTAAAGTGCTATCTTCCGACTTATAACCGCGAAAACTCCTGTGAGAACCGAAGAAAATAATCACTCCTTTTTCACAACGGGAAAAAAAAAAGAAATACCAGGGCCATCCAGCAAATCCACTTAGAAAACTCTTATTGCCCAACCTGTATTTCTTCCATGGAGTCCACGACATGTTTCACTTCACAAGCCAGACACCCTGGCAGCCCCCCTCACTGTAGCAGGCACTTCAACTCGTACCCGGAGCCGGGAACTGGAGGCTGAGCTGCGCTGAAATGGGCGACGCCCTTCCGTAGGGTTGGGGCGGCGGTAGGGTGTCTCTGGGGGCGCCCTATCAACTCTCCGGGCTTCCCCTGCCCACCTCCGCCCCTCATCCGGCCTTAGGCCTACGGGGGATGGCAGAAGAGAAGGGGACCCGGAAACACTGGTGCCCACTGGGAACCCACCTGCCCCGAGTCCCAGGGGTGTGCGGCCGGGGTAGGGCGGCAGCCCGCCTCCTTCCCCATCCGGGGCGCCGGGGCGACCGAACACTTCCGGGTCCGCCACAACCTCCGCGTTAAGAGCGTCCTTCTCCGTCTGGGAAGAACCAGGAGGACGCTGCTGCCCCCTCCTGGCTTCTCGGAGGCCCTCTTGGCTCTTCTTCCTTGGGACCGGTCCAAAACGGAATGTTGGGATCCTAGGAAACTAAATCCCAACAGAAAGACAGGTAATGTGGCATCAAAGTACCGGGTGAGGCAAGTGAGGATAGGGATAGGATAAAGGCTGACTGGTAGAAGAGAGATAATAACAGCTACTTTTATTGAACTCCCATTATTAAGGCAGGCCCTCAGTTTGGTACTTGGATGCACCCATGCTTCCCTTGGGTTGGTAGTCACTGAATACCGACAGCATGAAGCACTGTTATAGGTGCTTCTGATAAAGCAGTGACCAAAACAGACCAAAAAATATCCCTTCTGTCAGGGAGCTTGCGTTCTTGTATTTTGACCTTCCAAGTAATGATATCATGTCCCTTTCATAGAGGACAAAACTGAGGCTCAGAAAGGCAAATTGCCCAAGAACATGCAGCTGGAAAGTGAATCACCCACTGCCATTGAGTCAGATCGGACTCATAGCGACTCCTCCTTGGGTTTCTGAGGCAGTATCACTATGGAAGTAGATTGCCCAGCCTTCCTTCCAAGGAGTGGCTGGTGGGTTTGAACCGCCAGCACTCTGGTTAGCGGTCACATGCCTTAGGCACTACTTCTAGCTTCAAAGCTTGGTTCTTTCCTCTTTGCCTCTCAGAACGAGTGAGAGTGGAGAACCCTGTGACTGAAGACAAAGCCAAAAGCTTGAAACAGGAAGTTGCTAATATTCTGTTGTATTCATGGAAATAATAGAGGATCCATAAACAGAAATAATAGGAAGCAAAGAGATACAGTGGAACATAGATCTAGTGACAAAAGTTAGCAAACCTGAAGCTACTTACTAGCTGTGTGACTCAGGACAAATTACACTCCCTAAGTTTTGATCGCCTCCTCTGTTAAATGGAGATAACTGTTATTTGCTCTTGGCTACTTTATGGGATGGTTACAGCGATCAAGCATAAAACACATAAAAATGTTTTGTAAAGTATTGACTGTTATATGACCATAAAGTGTGGCTGCTGTTAGATTACTTTGGTCATCGTAATGATGGCAATAGCCAAGTGTAACAAATTCTGCAAAATGATGTCCTTCCGTTTCTCCCCAGGTTTCTGTTCCAAAATTTGACAAGATTCCTTGGCTTAGTGAGGCCAGCCTCATAAACAAGCCATTAGTGCTCAGCATCCCCAAAAGGTAACAGCTTAGCCTCTAAGGGCAGAGGTGTCCAGAAAGGTCTCATAGAGGATGATTTCTTAAGGAGTGGGGAGTAGTTATCAGAAGGACATACTTGTACAGTTAAGAAATACAAGTCAAGCGCCCAAAAAACAGAAATGGCCAGCATTTCTCAGACCAGATTGAGCACTGAGTACAAGCGTGGCCTAGGGAAATATTATCCTAAATTCCCTCTCTACCACCACCAAGGAGCTCTGGTAGCCACAGTGCCTAAGGTATCTGACTGCTAACTAGAAGGTTGGTGGTTCAA